TCTCTCTCTCTCTCTCTCTCTCTCTTTGTAAAATGTCTGCCTATATCTTTTTCTATTTCAAGCCTTGCTATTTTGCAATTTTCCAGTCCACTTTCCACATTTCAGGCAAAAAATTTATGCTTCTTATATGCTGTATTAAATAATATTCTTGCAAGGATCATCACATGATAAATGTTTTCACTGCATTATTTTATAGTGGGCTGACTGCTATTGCTACTTATATGTTGACAAAAGAACTATGGAATGACAGAGCTGGACTTCTGGCAGCATGTTTCATAGCAATAGGTATGTATTATTGTGATATTTCTCCTTCAATGCAATAAGGAGTTGATCAATTCCCTAGATATAGTTTTCCTAAATAGATGTATTTTTCCTTCCCAATTTTTTTTTTGCTTCTGTCAATCAAAATCATTTGGTAATTTTTACATCCATAATTGGGTCCAGTAAAAATTCATATTCCATTTAAGCAACTTTCAATGACCAAGTTTGTTTAATATTGAAAATTGTTCTGAAACCAAAGGGAGACATACTGTACATCACAGGGATTAACAGTAATTTCATATCCTACTGTAAACAACTGTGCATGCAAAATGCTTGTGCATACTACTGTAGATTATTTATAAAATTGTAATGATAATCAATTCTCATGTAAACCTTGAAGATTATATGAATGTGAAGGTCAAAAGAAACCTATCCTAAACAACATATGTCCTAAACAACTGTGCATGCAAAATGCTTGCACACACTACTGTAGATTGTTTATAAATTGTAATGATAATCATTTCTCATGTAAACCTTGAAGATTATATGTGAAGGTCAAAAGAAACCGGTCAAAAGCTTGATTGCAATCAAAAACGAGTCTTGGGTCTTACAACAACCCACAAACTCTTATTTTACTTGAGACTTAGACTGTATAGTGTTGGGGAAGTTTTAAATTGGTGGAACATGTTAACTTAACATTGCCCAAGAGTCAGCCCATTGTCAATCAATATGATACCATCAATATGTATCAGCTGGTCATAAAGTACAAGATTACCCTATTTACCCTATTATATGTGCACCTTTTTGTATTTTCAGTTCCAGGATACATCTCTCGTTCAGTTGCTGGTTCTTATGACAATGAAGGCATTGCTATCTTTGCACTGCAGTTTACGTACTACTTATGGGTATGTACAGCTACATCTTTTGTAGATATTTATTATGAATTAAAAAATTCCACAAATACTTTTGTAAGATTTTTTTGTATAATTGATATTTCGACAACCTTTATTGGATATTAAAGAGTGAGAAACAGTGCCCTAGTTAAAAATGAACATACATGTTCTAGTACCATTTGTTTGTTGCCATGGCTTGATAAACTTCTGGAATTAAATGTGATTGTTTCCAGAATTTTGGCCTTGTATTGAATGCAATGCTTCAAGGAAGAGTTGTTGTGGTAATTCTTCTTGCATTCAACCATGCTTTGGTCTTGAAATCAAGATCTGGTTGGCCTGCTGAGCAATTTTCACATTAACATGGGCGTTCATTATGCTCCGTAACAATGTCAAGAAATATTCACATGTACTTTAATATAATTGTATTTCATAGTTCTGCCATTCTAAAAGTAGACATTTTTTCCCCATTTTCAGGTCAAGTCTGTTAAAACTGGTTCAGTGTTTTGGGCCATGTGCACCAGCTTGTCTTACTTTTACATGGTAAATATTAAGTAAACAAATCTTTCATTTGCTAAACTAGTTGTCTAATAATTATCTAATTAGGTGATTTTTGTGCCTGGTAAGTCCTTTAATGATTTTAAATATTGGTATGACTCTGGCATGGAGCTTGAATTTTTTGCAAAAAAAAATCGGCCGAAACCTAATTTACATTTTTAATTGTCTAAGTTACTAGTCATGTGATAATAGGCAAAGTGTACATCATCAGCTTCCACTAAGATATTGAATATTGTCTTTGTTATAATGGTTGCTGTATTTTTAACTTATATAAATGATGTATTATGTTATTGCTGATTCTTTCATTCTAGGTCTCAGCCTGGGGTGGTTATGTGTTTATCATTAATCTGATTCCTCTACATGTCTTCTTTTTGCTGCTGATGGGAAGATTTACACAAAGGATTTATGTTGGTTAGTAGAACATAGTATCGTGCTTATTTTACAGTGTGACGTGCAAAAGTATGACAACATTTAATGTATTGTGTAGTTCCAGAAAATATCCATGGAGGAAATTGGAAATTCTGGAGGGGAGGGGGGGTCAGAGAAAGAACAAAATTACATAGTTTGTATGGAAGAAAATTGGAAGTTCCTGGGGGTAGGGGGTCCTTTTATGAATTTCCATGGTAGGGGTATGGATATTTTCTGGAACTACACATTCACATAATTCTATGCACAGACTGGCCTTTTACTGTCAAACAAGCTTTATGTGCTTTATTTGGTAAGACCAGCCAGCTTTGCATTGGAATGTGTCAGTTTAATGTACAAACCCAATGCATAAAAGTGTTCAAATACATTATTGCTGGTCATACAATGTACTTTAGCATGTCTGGCTGTAAACCCTAATCTGCAGATGTATCTAATTCCATTTTTCTCACAGACGAAATATGAAAATCCCAGTTCTCTTATCCTACTTTTGAGATCCTCATCTTATATAAATATTTTAAAGCTAAAGTTTTTAGTTATATGGGAATTTTTTACATATGCAGTACTTAACATAGCTATACATTCTGTTTTGACTACTCTCTAATCTGTAAAGCTTCAACTTTGAATGCTCTTAAAATGGAGTACTGATGAAGAAAGGGGGGTTAGGTATTCACTGTCAGCTCCATGAAAGACCAGATACTAGCTGAAGGAATACTGATGTTAAATAGGGCCTTTACCTTTAGCTTATTTGTCAATGATGTCTGAATATATATTGAGAACCATGAACTCTTATTAAAGTTTATATTATTGTTATTTATTAATATATTATTATTTAACAGCTTACTCTACATTTTACATCATTGGTCTTATACTCTCCATGCAAGTTCCATTTGTTGGTTTTCAGCCAATCAGAACAAGTGAGCACATGGCTGCAGCTGGTAAGTGTCTAGATATAGACTGAGTAATGATTGGCAGAACACAACGCAAATTATTAGGAAAAGCATGTACTAATTTAGTGATTTATCACTGAAGTCACAGCACACAGCAAGGGCTTATCAAGACGAGGTTTTTGTTCCTTTTATAAACAACAATATTGAGAATAGCCAGTATCCTGGTTACAAATGACTAAATGTGCATGTACATGTATGGTGTGTGTGTGTTCAATAGGCCCTTTGCAGCTAAGCAATCACGTGCTGATTAATTCACTGAGAGCAAATGAATGAATATTTTGATTCCCATGGGTGAAATTTACTGGAGAGCAAACAAGCTTCCTACAACCTGTTTTGAGAGATAGTAATAAAACTGCATWTCATAACACACTGAATACACATCTTTTCATTCAGTTCTTTACGAGTACCTAAAAAGAATCACCAATGTAATATAAAAACATAAATTTTGCCCTCCAGTACAGACACATGACCATTAACTGCAAAGGGCCTATTCCCCGACCAAGTAGAAAGCAAAATGTATATGACAATTATTTCATCGTAGAACTTAAACTACAATAATACAGTACAAGGCTTAAGTTTAACTTCTTCAATAAGGTTGAAGTTAGAGACTAGATTTTAAACCAATTGCTTTTGATCAGCATTAAAACTTTTAAAAAAAACAACAAGCAACTTTACATAAATGTGATGGGAAATTTGCTTTGCTTGTGGAAAGTCATTTCATTGTTATGGCATTCAATACCCTGTACTTTAACCAATACATTTGCATGCATTCATCATACACAAACTATGTAGCTGTTATATAATTTATGTTCTTTATTATTTATCTAGGAACCTTTGCCCTCATTCAAGCATATGGCTTTTTAATGTACATCAGGAATAAATATTCCTGGTCTGACATTAAGAATCTTATCATCTTTCTTGCCGTTGGCTCTGCTGGAATTGTATTCTTAGCTGTTGTGGGATTGACTTATATGGGTGAGCTATTTATTTGTTTACATAATATTTCTGGAGCTCTTCATCTTCATATTAGGCATTTTTACTTCTGTCATTTACATGTATGGGATTGCCTTATACATGAATGGGTGAGCTTATTTATTTGTTTACCTAATACCACAATATTTCTGGAGCTCTTCATCTTCATATTGGGCATTTTGACTTCTGTCATTTACTTTTATGTACAGTTACTAACAGTTAAATAATTTTTTAAAATGACTGAAACAAAAACACAGATGTCTGGAAACCCATATATACAAATTTATTTTTGATTGTAACATTTGATTTTGTATATAAAATGAACCTTTTTTGATACTAATGTAGTGTTTTTGTCTGGTATCAAGGTGTCATTGCTCCTTGGAGTGGTCGTTTCTATTCTCTGTATGACACAGGGTGAGTATTACTCTACAGATGCATACTCCATCAGCCACTTACAAAATTATTCAAACACAATGTATCTGGAGTAAATGCATCAGCCAATCAGGAGAGAGCAGAATCAGAAGCATTTTGATTTTGGACATCAGCCAATCGCGATGTTTCAGGCTGCTGATAACACCTACTGTAAGTTGTCTAAACTTGGTTGTGTTCGTTCCTGATTGGTTAAGCTAAATTTTTTTGATTTAATTCAATCTACAATATTACTGGTTACAATTTTGAATGTTTTTGAAAGTCTACATGTAATAATGCTAGAATGATGGGAATATTACAGAGCCAGACCTAGGATGATTCCAAGGGGGAGTGGAGCCAGTATAGTAGTATAGGGGATGGGGGTTCCAGCGCAACGACCACCGGTGGATTACCCGTCTAAAGTGAATTCCTCGATTCGTACCGCGATTACCCGCATCCCGTGTTTATGTAGTTAAATATGTTAGTCTATATATGGAGTGCGAAGA